GAGAGAGAGAGAGAGACAGAGAGAGAGAGAGAGAGAGCACAAGTACAAGCAGGCAGTTATTTTCAGTGCACTGAATAGACAATTCACAGGGAAATGTTGAAGAAGCAAGGAGCCGACCCCCAAGTGCAGCGCATGGCCCACATGCTCTATAATAAATAATCTCTTCCCACCAGCCCAACCGCGTGTGCAATGACCAGTCAGTGACACCGCACTGAGACTGGCAGAGAAAACACATTCAGCCGCGCCGGATTTTCATCACAATCACCAAATTAACTGATTTCCCCATGTCGCTCTCCCCCAAACTGGTGCATGCCGGTGCTGGCGTGCCGCGCGATGAGCGAGGGCGCGCGCGCGCACACACAGACACAGAGACAGACTGACACACACGCACACGCACGCACAGAAGGAGGGAGGAGGGAGAAAACAGCTGAGAGATCCAAGTTGCTGAGAGGTGAACTAGGGACTCTAGGAGGATGTTTTCTCGGCAAGATTAGAAATCCAAGTAACGAATCAGCCACCTGGGTTACTTGCAAGATGGTGGGGGTGTGAGCGTTGGGAAATTGGACCAGGAGGTGTGAGCAGGGAGAAATCACTATCTGCTTTCTTCGGGACTCTAGCACATGACATTTTAAATTTATAGCCCCTGTAAAATACATAAAATTCCCACCACATATTCCAGGAAACATCTGTACAAGGTTAGTTAATTGATTTAGCAATTTTCTGCACATCACTTCATCCGCATCCGAAAATATGCACAAATAAAATACTGTCCCAATCTGTACCCCCAGAAGACCATAGAAAAGAGGCTGCATTCCAAGAACTTGCTGAAAGATGGTTCATTGACCTCATTTAAATCATGCAAAAAAGAAAAAAAAAACCCGTTTGGGTTTTGAACACACGCTTGTCTATATGTGCCTTACTTTCACATTTCCTTTCACCCAGAGGAAAAAAAAATTGATCAAATTTTCACAAATATCCAATGGATACCAAAAAGGCTGAGAGTGGACAAAGATTTATCAAGGAAAGAGTCACCCAGCTTTAAAAGAATTCTATCGAACATAGTCTCACATCCATCCTTCCCATATCTCATTCAAGCCGCATCCTGTACTACTCTTAAAGCAACAATCTTCCGCCTTTCAGTTCCTGCACATGCACGCCGCCTCTGCCTCCTCCACCACCCCAAAGTGCCTTCTCCCATACACTCCAACTCGCGCATTGCCATTTATTTCAAAATTAGCATCGTCTTCCCTTCATACATCACACCCCTCTGCCATCCAAAAGAATAGGACCGGGGCGAAATGAACCGGCTTTCTCTAGCCTCCGAGCATCCAGACCAGTTATTTGCATAATAACTGTTTTGTGTGGTTTCCCTCCACTGCAGTCGCAGGGTTCTTACATTTCACGTGAAAGGATGATATTAATTACGCAAAGAAGCGGCAGACAGAGAATATAGACAGGTAGAAATTCTGAGCGAAAATTCAAAGCGGTGAAGTAACTGCTAGGGAACATACATTTCTTGGCTTACAAAAATGCAAACCACACAGACTGTATAATGAAAAGTCGATGTGTTGATAAAGTGGATTTATGTCTTTTAAATTGTCCCTTCGCTCCCTTTTAAAATTCTTGTTTCATTCATATTCTCTCTCTCTCTCTCTCTCTCTCTCTCTCTCTCTCTCTCTCTCTCTCCTTTCTTCGCTCGCTCTCCTCTCTCTAGCCCAGACAGAGTCTCCCTTCTCTTCCTAGGTGAATGACACGTCTCACAACCCCCCCAACTCCCCACCCCCGAGGATGTTATTGCAATGCACACGGTGCCGCCGCTGCTGCTGTTCTTGCCGTCGCGGTAGCTCGCTCCCAGGCTCTCACACACTTTTTAGACACATGGATGAGATGCTGGTGGGAAAAGGGGAAAGGAGGAAGGCGACCCTAAAAGAGGAGGAGGTTAAAGAGATGACAAGAGGTGGAGAGGGTAGCTTAAGAGCGTGATGTGGGAGGTGGCTGGCGAGGGTGGGTGGGAGAATGGAATGTTGAGACAGGCACAAGTTGCCAGCCACCCGGAGTGGGAGGCGGATGCTGGCGGGGATCGAGTGGGGTGGAAAAAAGAAAGCAGCTCAGGTGAATGAAAAGGCGAAAGGTGCCTCGTAAGGAGCTGCCTGCTGCCAGAGCTGGGCTGAGCCAGAGCTAGAGAACCAACCGGCTGGTGCAAACTGCCACTGCCCCCTGCAGCACCGGGGCGGAGGGGGAGGGATTGGAAACCGCCGGGCACTGGGGGATTGCCAGGGGAGAGTGGAAATACGGGGTGGAATGGGGAGGATGGGGAATGGGCGTGAAGCGATGCTCCCTACAGCGGGGCGGGGATTACCTTGTAACAGGAGTCCGCAGACACTGTAGAAGCGGAGAACCGCGCTGCGTTTCCAAATCATGGTCCTTTTTCTAAGGGTCTGGGGAAGGATCGAGGGGGCAAGGAGATGCTGCTTGAGCGAAGCACACAGTGCAAAGGCTCAGCTGTGGTCGTCCTCCCGGCTCCCGCCGGACCCACGATCCCGCCGCTGCGGTGTTCGAACCCGCGTGGAAGCTGGTTGCCGGCAGCAGAAGCGGCAGTGGCGGAGCACCCGCAGAATAGGGTTTCGGTGGGCTAAATAGTTTCTTCTCCTTCTTTTGCTGGTGGTGCAGCCCCGATACCCGATCTGCTGGGCACCGGTTTGGAGCTTGCTTTGCTCTCGGAGCTCGCGGCAAGTCCCAGAGCCCGCCCGGAGGCTGCCCAAGCAGGTGATGCAGAGACGCC